AGCTACTCTGATTCACCAGGATTGTGACTTTGCTTCTGATTTCTTGCTTGCCCAAAATCACTGAGAAAAGCTTATACTTGTTCTTTAGCCAGAGACCTGAGTCCTTAGGGAATTAATATGAGACTTTTGGTGGCAGTATATCTGGCTCCTGACTGTACCAGCTGGTTCCCGGGCCATATTCTTAAAATAGAAAAATAAATGATAGCTCTGCCAAGACTACATTTGGTATAATCCAGAGAATATGTGTTTAAGTGTCTGAAGGAATCAGCCACAGGAATCTTGATGGTACCAGCCAAGATATCTGAGGTCCAAGGGTGGCAAAACCCAGGGACCATCCAGTACTCATGGGGGGATTCCAGCTAAACAGAAGCTGGGATTTGGACATGTCCGGGCAGGTCTGCTGAATACTCAGGGCAGGCATGCCTGGAGTCTATTTACATGACAACTTTTGGCTGAAGAATGATTGTTTGTTGATCTGAATGGAAAGTGGAATGGGAAGAAGAGAAATGTGTCTGTCTTAGGATGCAGGTTTTGAAAAATGTTTTTTAATAAATGAGTTTATAAATTAAATAATATATCACCTTTTTGTATCTGGTAATTGTACAATTTACATTAGGATTTTTGCTAGTTTGGAAATAATTTATTACTATCTTTAGAAACCTATAGCCCTCATGTAGGAAATCCTATCAAAATTAAAGACAGATTTAATCTAGTTTACTACCAGGGATTGTGTTGGGTGTGTGAATGAAAAGACAAAATGCATGTCTTATGGCTTTGGAAATGTTGGGTGACTGATTTTTCTCTAAATTTCCATGAAAAATAATGTATCTCAATTTGTTATTTGAACTGTGAGCTTTTGCTATAGCACCTAGATCTTCCTGAAGCTCTGTTAAATATTAACGTGGCTAAAATAGTTTAAAATTTAAAATAAATTGTTTACACTTGTGCTTCTGGTCTTGATTGGTGCCACTCCTTATTCATTGCATTTTCAAGGTAGAGGCTGGTTGATGAGCTACAATTTCACTCTTTCTTTTTCTTTCTTTCTTTCTTTTTTTTGTTTTTTTGTTCAGGCCATGCAGCCTGCAGTGGAGGAGCAGAGTCTTAACCACTTGACCACCAGGGAAGTCCCTCTTTCTTCTTTAATTAATAACAATTATTACAGTCCTAGAGGACACTTATTCTCTGGCTGTTTTTCATGTGCAAGGCACAGATCTAAGCACTTTACACATTTTATTTCTTTTAATCTTCAGAACACTGTTATGAAGGAGACACTTTTATTATCCTGGTTACATACATGGGAAAACTGAGGCCTAGAGAGGTTAAATTCCTTGTCTAATTAATATATAGCAAGCAGTGGGGAGAACTGGGGTTTTGGTGTTTGAAGTGTTTTATCAAAACTACTAATTACTCTAAATTTTAAGATGGTTATGGAAAAGAAAAGGCTGTTTCTCAGTTCAGGTATGGTTTAGGTGTCAGAAATTCTCTCATTGCCAATTTTGATTCTTTAGCCCTTGCGAAGTCACCGGAATTATTTTCCAGTCTTTTGGTCATACAAAATGAGTTTTTAAATGACTCTATTTCAGTTGCTTTCCTAGAGATTGGGAAAAGCAGTCTACTGTGCACCTCTCCTTGAGAATGACTTTTTAAATCTTTAAACTTTTTATTTGGATATTATTTCAAACTTACAGAAAAGTTGCAAAAATAAAGATAGTATTAAAGATACCCATACACCTTTTACTCAAATTCACTTATTGTTAATTAACATTTTACTTCTTTTATCATTTGTGTGCTCTCTCTGATTACATATGGGGGACAAAAAACTTTATAAAGCTATATTTTTTCTTTCTAAATCACTTAAGGGTAAATTACATACATTTTGGTCTTTCCCCCTAAATACTTCAGTGTATCTTTCCTAAATATAGGAATATTCTCTTACTTGTATATTTCAGTAGTCAATTTCAGTAAATTTGGTTTGATACAATGCTTTAATCTATGGACAGTGTTCTAATTTTGTCAGTTGGACAATAATGTTATATACAGGGCTTTTCCCCTTGGGTACAGGATCCAGTCTAAGGCCAGGTACTACACTGAGCTGCATTGTTTGAGAATGATTCTAATTATGCCAGATTTTATTTTTGCTATACCCATACAGCATGTAAAAATCTTAATTGAAGTGGACCTCTGATGAAAATTAGACCCCTGATAGATTTTTCATTATTACTTGATATTTTGCAATTCCTAATGATGATTAGGATGAACTCATACTAATTAAAGCTAGTTACTAGCAACTGTTTCTATTAATTACTTTATATACCTAAACGAATTAGATTCTTTTGAGTCATAGCTGAAATTCTAACAGTAGCCTAATGGTATTAATCTAATTTTAATTTTAAAAGAGACTTCTATTTTTTGGTACTAATTAGCCTAACGCAGGATTACTGGAAAAGTCGGAAACCCCAAGAAGGAAAATGAGATACTGTCTGGTGTTTGAGAGGAATGATTGATGCTGACAAGTATGAAATAAAAATTATAAATAAATAATCCGGATGTTGTTTAAAAGGCAAGCTGTTGATTTTATCACTCCCTCTTGCCAAGACACACATTGGTGCCTGTTAAATTTGACGTTTTTACTCTGATGTCAATGGCAGCTTTAAAGTATCAGTAGCATCCCAGGATGAGGTAATAAATCTGTCCCAGGAAGAGATGTGAAACCATGTCTGCCTGCTGTTTCCTTACCCAAGAGCCCAACACTAGCGGCAAGCCAGCAGCTCCTGGGCACTACAGAAGTTACCATCCTTGTCTTTCCTCGGTTAATGGTGGCCTGTTTGTCTTCTGCACCTCTTTTCCCCCTTTCTCTGTGAACCGGGAGCAGAGGGCTAATGAACCCAACAGGCTCCTAATCATTATACAAACTCTGCCCACCCAAGAGGCCCCTCTGCCTTCACCAAATTTCTCATTTGGTGACCACAGTTGAGAGCCAACAGTCTCCTATAGTCATTTTTAATAATTATTTATATTAAAGAGGGTTTTCACAAAAGGGATAAACTTTTGAAAAGAACTTGGGTCACAGTCTTTGAAAGAAAGAACATATTTGCTTAGCAATGTTTGCAATATTGACAGTTGTTTGCACTTGCCCTCCTACAGTCCCAATCCTCACTTCTTTGCATCTTGTACTTGATATTTTTTAATATACTTAGGCAAGGAATTAGCACACGAGTTGGAAACTTGTAATTATATAGTTAAGTATCACTATGTAGTACAATGTATCACAGGGACAAACAATTGATGCCCCAGACGCCAATCTGAGACTCTGATAGTGTGACTTGGCTGTCTAACGTAAACTGCAAAATATTAATACATGTCCTCTTACCTTGAAAGTGTCATCATTTACTCTCCATGAACCATGGACATCATTGTGGAGATCCACCCCTGCCCCACCCTTACTTCACCAAGTCTCTAGAATTCCAACACTATACTGCCTTTATTTCTGTAGTTGATATTCTGACTTCTAGGATGTGCTGTCATATATTAGTCTATTTTCACTTTTCCTTGTGATGTGCTTTGTTTTTTAAAGATCTAAGATCCACTGTATTTAGATGAGGAAAGATAAAGGGCACCTCTGGCTATAGAGATGAGTTTGGAACAAGGATAGCTAAGATGGTGTTTTTAAAGAGGAAACTTTAGGCTTGGTACATTGCAGGGAAGAACATCTACAGTGTCCTCCAGGGCTGAGTGGTAGGTATGCCATCACTCCTACAAAGGGGTGGCTGGACCTCAGATTCCTTTATCTTTTGAGCTCCACTGAGGTGATCTGTAATTTACCTTGGAGTTCCTACTGCCCTGGCCACTTAATTTCAGTGATAACTCTATTTCTCAGCAAATGTATCATATACATTTTTACTCAAAAGCCCACATAACTTCTTTTACATCATCAGCAATTGAGACCATTGGCTTTTTAAAATTTTTTTATTTTTTCACTCATTTATTTACAAATACACATTATAACTTTTATATACATTGCACATTTACATGGTAGAAAAGTACAAAACTATATATTTAAATGAATTTATATTTAACTTGCCATGTTTGAAAATATAAAATTGCATCAGAAAAAAGTATTATGAAAAGCAAGAAACTTGAACTGATAAAGCTTTGATATAACTTTTCATGACACATTGGGTGAAAAGCACTAATTTAAAAGGTACAGCAGACTAGCTTAAAGGAAACACCTAACAAAAGGTTGAATGTGTAGCATTCCCCTTCCTTCAGGCTCCTGACACCCATATCACTCAATTTCTTTGGATCTGTAACATCTTAAAAGTACATTATTAGAAACCCAACATTGCTATCAGCCCCTCTCACAAATGTCATCATCACAACAAGAGAACGGAAGTAGGAATTTCCTCAAAGATGTATCCTCTGTACCTTCTATCTGAGTCAGAGTTATAATGCCTTTTGGTCAGTCAAGATTCCTTGTAAACAAAACCCGAGGGATCACGTATGTACAGAACAGGCAGCAGAGAATCCAATAAATAAACATGACAGAAACTGACATGCAAGTTTGTTATAATGGAAAAGAGTCTAACAACAGTGAAATGAAGGGAGACAGATGAGTGAGTGAATAGTAAGGAATGGACTTAAATGGTTTACAAGGAAAAAAAAAAAGCTTTTACTTTACAAGCAAGAGACCTCACAATAAATAACAACTGCTCTTCCTTTCACGAATAAATTTCTTCAAAAACAAGGTGTACAGTCAACCAGACATTTTATGTATAAATTATAAAACATGACACAGTATAAATAAATGTCTACAAGTCTCAACTATGGGCCTCATCCAGTAGACCTCACAATGACTGCCTCTCCGGGTCCAATGAGTAACAAGGTGGCCTGGGAGAGAGCTTTAGGACAAAGGTCCTTTATGTATAGTTTTCCCCCCAAATAAATAAGCATACACTTATTTACAGTATGGACAATATATTTTTTCTTTTTCTTTTTCTTTCTTTTTTTTTTTTGCCCAAAGGCTATGTCAACACTGAACATTGGTGGAGGGTTTACCACTCTAGAATGGAAGATATAGGAAAGCTGTAGTCCTGGTCTTCATCTTCCTCCTCTTCCTCGGTGTCTTCCGAAATGGCTAGATGGGGGAATACAGGGGAGCTGCTGTTTAAATATGGACAACAACAGCGCAGAAGCAGCTCAGTGTATGTTTTCAAAGCCCTCTGAAACAGCCATATTACAGCGTTGCATTTTTATGTGACTTGCAGTAAGATGCTTTTTTTTGTTTTGTTTTTGGCATCTGCTGTTATGCAATAAGTTTAAAAAAAAACTTAAAAAAAACCACCATTATCTATGAAGTCAAAAACTGCAGAAAGTTCTGAAGAATCAATGGCTCAGGTTTTACGGGCAGATTCCTGAAATTAGATAAAAAGCGCTCTTGTGTTCTAGGTATAACTGCTTTGGGTCCTTAATTCAGAGTTAGTAGAGGCAGCTGCACAAAGCAGCAGCCCCTGTGTGATAATAGAAAGCTGTCTTTGAAAAAGGAAAAAAAAACAACCTTTGAAGCAGTTAGTTTAGATTCAAGTGTTAATAAAGCAAACAGCAAAGCACACTACTAAAGCAAAAGAAATTAGGGGCAAATGACTGGAAATAGGTTTTTAGAGGCGACCCCCTTGATGATCATCAGACAAATCCTAAAAGCCCAGAAACATTCCAGGCAGTTTTTCTGTGGATCGCCGAACTGCTGGTAAAATTTAGCAGCTACCTAACTTAAACAGAAGTGGGCTTATATGGGGAGGTTTTCGTGCTTTTTACGTCTCCATTCCCTAGGGCTTGCCTGGGAAAGCCTTAAACTGCAGCAAGGTTAGAAATTGCACTTACAGTTGCAAGATCCGGAGTGCTTCACTTCCAGCAGCACGCCTGAAGAGCAGGCCGCTTCCTTCATGGCACACTCGCTGGCGTAGGTGGCATTGTCACTGGCACAGACAGGCTCCTCAGACTTACTCTCAGGGCACAGCTCATCGCAGAGGGAACACCGGCCTCTGCCAACCTTGAAATCCCATAAACACTTTTTTCCACCAGTGCACTGGATATCCTCACAGGACTTTGCTTCTAGGATATAATACACCTGTGATGAGTAAATCCATTTCCCCCTTGCCCCCTTTCTCTAGTCTCCTATCAATAAATGTAAACATATAACATATCTTATTACTCACTCATGGGGGTAATGGAGATATTGTGCAAAAATGCTCTATAAATAAAACCAAAACACACACACACACACACACACACACCCCAGTTTCCTACATACTATATTAGTACATGAAAATACTGTAGCATTTTTTTGGAACAGAATTTCACAGTATCCTTGAGTTAAATATGTATTTGATTATTTCCCACAAGTGGGATCTTTTAAAAAAAGAAAGAATTCTATCAGTTATCAGAATCTGATAACAGATTTTAGGAACTGTTAAGTAATTATTTCTTGCTTCCAGCAAGTCTAGCACTTAAAAAAAATGTGTAAAATTGAGTGAGTTCTTTGGTTTCTAAGGAGGAAAATTGTTTCCTGTGTCTTGCTGGCATTTCAATATATATGCCAATGTTTCCGGAAGACAATGGTTTTCTTAAGGAATGCTGTGGTCATGACAGTTTACCCAAACTGGAGAGTATTTCTCTCTTTGGTGAAGCTATGTGTTTGGGGAGGCTTTGGCCTTATTTATTGGTTAACCTCATAATTTTAACACCAGTTCTAGCCTCTTTCTCTTTTTGTATTTTTTCTTTTCCTTCCTCAATCCAGAATACCTACTGATACACTTTCCCTCATAGGCCAATCCAATAGACCTGCCCAGTAGGCAGGTAGCCTTTCTCAGGTGACAGGCACTGGAGTAGGTTACTCCATCATTCCCACAGAGATACTGTTCAGAGGAGGTGGGCTCTGGGCAAATGCGGTTACATGTCACACAGTAGGCATTATTAGTCTGGTCCACCACGCATGTGGAGCTGCCTGGACAGAAAACATCCCGACAGGTCTCTGAAACAAAGAGGGAAACACACATTAATAGGCATCTTCTGGTCCTTAGGGACTGAGCATTTGATAGTATCAAGGAAATCATGAAGCATCCAGCTTTCAGAAACATACTCTGGGAGCCCTGTGGTTTTCAAAAGAGAACTATGATTCTAGGTTGGTCCTTCAGTGTTTTAAGGAGTCTTCAGAAGTTAGAAAGGGTTCCTTTATTTGGTATCATCCTTATTATTATTAGGCTATTACTGCAGACTACACCATCCCCCGGGGGTCTTGCAGTGGGTCTATCTCAGGTAGAAAGCTGGGGGAGGGGCGGGTAAGACCTACTTTTACATTTGCCCTGGTACTGGACTTCCAGTTCCGGCTGCTCTTTACATCTGGCCTTGAGGAGTGCACATTCGTTGCGGTAGGTTTTTCCGTCCAGCCCACAGACTGGGCCTTTCCAGGTGATGTTAGAACAATCTGGGGCGCAGACGCAGCGGGGTTTGTTCTTCTTGTTCATTCGGCATTTTTTCCCGGGCCCACAGTCCACGTTCTCGCACGTTTCTAGCAGTTGGAAAGATGCAGGGATTAAAACCGGGGCCAGGCACCATGCAGGTCAGCCAGGAGGGCTGCGGGTGCCTCGCGCAATCGTGCTGCCAGCAGTCCGAGCCCAGGGGCTCTCACCCAGAAGTTGAGGAGGGGCAGGTGTGGGGGACAGTGGGCTGCATCCCATACCCAGATCTCTCTCAAAGTGCACGGGTTGGCTGGCTTCACCACCACATTTGGCTAAGAAGTCCGAGAACCTCTGTCGACCTTGTTTTGCCTGTAGTATGTGACACCCAAGATTAAACCCGGATGGCTTACCAGGGCTGGGGGTAGTTAGGTGGATCCCACGAACAAAGGTCTCCCAGTCCCAAACCCCAGCTGGGCACTGGGAGGGTAAGACGCCCTCTACTGAGGGCCTACACATTGGGGAGGAAGAGCCCTACCTTTACAGGGGATGCAGTTGGGGGCGCCCCCATTGAAAATCATCCACTTGAAGAGCGTGTTGTCATTTACGTCCTCTTCGGTCCATGAGGTGCTCAGGCGGCCGGTGCTGCAGCACTCCTCCTTGGTCAATTCTGTCTTGTACAGGACCTGGCAGCGGCCGTTCTTTGCTTGGCGGAGCCAGCAGTTCCCAGCTGCGGGGAGACAGGGGCGGGGAGGTGGGCGAGTGAGCAGTGGCGGGGTAGGGGGAGAGAGGTGACGAGCCGGCAAGGGAAGGAGACCCGGCGGGGATGGGGAGGGAGTGAGCGGGGAGGAGGAGAGACGGGAGAGAAAAGCAGAAAAGCAGGAAACAAATCGGAGGGAGTGAAGGGGTGGAGAAAGAGGGGGAAAAAGCCAGATTGAAGAGGTGGGAGGTGGGCGAGGGGGAGGGAAGGCGAGAGCGAGAAGCCAGAGCGCCCCAGCCATATCAATGTCAGTTACCAGTGACCCAGACACAACACGTGCAGCTTGCATTGACTTTTACTAGACTGTTTACTTTTATTCGTCCCATTTCATAACCTGCAGCGACTCGAAGAGCAGATTAAAGAACCTGACAAAAACAGGATGCGACGGGTGTTTTTACATGTTGCATTCATGTAGGCGGTACGAGTATTATTTGTGACAGGGGTTAAGAAAGTAGGAGAACTCTAGAGAGAGAGAAAGAAAAAGAAAGGGGGAGACAGAGACCGAGACAGACAGACAGACACACACACACAGACACACACACACGAACAGATCAAGCAAAAGGCACTTGTGAAAAATGAAAGCAAAAAAGCAACCGGGCCCTGCCCGGCGCTGCCCCGCGCGGCCTCGAGGCGCAGCCCGCCCGACGGGCCGTTTTGCAATCCGCCAGACCCAGAGGACGCCCGCGGCCACCGCGATCTTTCGAAATCTCCCAGGGCTGCTTTCCCCGGCACCCCGGCAGCGCCTCGTCCCGAAAGGCGGGCAACTCAGAGTAGTGCGTCGCAGACGGCTAGGGACAGTGCCCGGGGGACAGTTTACAACACACACAAAATGTTAACGCTAAAGCCAGGAAAGTTACAAGTCTGCCTCAAGAAAAGAGTGGGGGGGGGGGAACAAAAGGGGGGGGAACTTCCTACTGTTTCATGGTTTTATATACATGTATGTGTGTATACACACACCCCTATCTCATACCTACCAAGAAATCTTTGCAAGTAATTTCTCCCCCTTCCTCCTTTTTAATGTTCGGATTTTGGTCAGGAAGATTTCTCATGAATCATCCATATAACTTTAACAATAATTGGATCGCAAGCTGCTATTATTATTTTTAAAAATTCTGCCCAAAGACTAATTGAAATAAACAAATCTAATTTTTAAAAGCTTTAGAAATTTGCATCTCAGAATTTAAATCAATTGTGGGCTCCTCACTGTTCTACAGAAAGTTAACAGAGGAATGAGGCAAAGGGGAAAAAACTGTAAACTACTCAAAAGAGTCCGGGGCAATATTTTTTTTTTTTTTTTTGGGGGGGTGGGGGGGGGGGGGTTGGAAGAAGCATCCACTAGGCAGAAAGCTACTTCCCTCTAAAATTTTCGGCACCCACATTTCCAAGTTTGGGCAAAGTTTCTGAAACCACGTCCCCCAGCCACCGAAGAAATTTCAGTATCTCCCCCTCCCCACCCAGTCATTTTTTTAAGGTATCCACAAGACGTAGGAGGGAGGGAGGTTAGACTGCAAATGGGTCGACTGAAATCTCCAGGCTACTGATGCTTGTCCCCTTCCTCAGAGCCAAACAGGGGAGATAACATCTGAACTCATTATGTCCAGAACTTGAGCATCTAACCCTACCTACTGAGAGAGACTCCAGCTCACCCCCTTTCCTTTTAAAGGATAACCGCGCTCCAAACTCGGCTTCAGGTCCTAAAGTGTCACTGCCTTTAGTTTTCCCACTCCTCTCCATCCCGGACTCGCTAAGTTGGTCCAACATCTTCCGAGAGCAGCGTTGCTCAGAGCAGACCCAGTGGAGACGACCGAAAAGTACAAACCCCTGCCCTGTGCCGAACCTCCCAGCGCATCCCCCCCTCGCTTACCCTGGGCACTGCGGTCCTCCATGAACTGGCAGAGCAGCAGCAGCAGGAGGCAGAGCCCGCCGGGCTGGTGCCTGGGACGGACCATCCTGGGGGCAGGCGCGGGGCGAGGAGCGCAGCGGCGCGGGGAGCGGGCGCGGCGGCGGGTGGCTCGGGCAAGCGGCGCGCGTCGCAGAGGCGAGCGGCGGAGGGCGCAGCGATCCCGGCGCAGCCCCGCGCTCGCCGCCGGCCGCCCGCGCGATTCAATGGACGTCAGAAGCCGGGCGCAGCCGCGCTTTAAATCTAGACGGGGGTCTCCGCGGTTTGCGGTGGGCGGTCTCCCAGTGTGTGGGGCAGTGGGAGGGCGGCCGCGAGCGAGGGTGTGCGCGGCTCCTTGGGGGTGGGGAGCTTCTAAAAGTTCAGTGTGAATCAGGTGACATTTCCCACCTTCTGGAAACCCTTCCCAATTATCTGGTGGAGGTGCCCGAAATCAAAGCTGCAGGAGGGGAATCGCCGAGTTCTTATTTGCGTAGGAGCGAGAGGGAGGGGGCAGGCGACCGGGGCGGGGGAGTGGGGAAGAACACCCACTTCAAGTCCTGCACGCCGCCGCTCGCTGGTAGCGCCGGCGCGCCGGGGGTGGCGTGTGTGTGTGTGTGTGTGTGTGTGTGTGTGAGAGAGAGTGTGTGTGTGTATATGTGTGTGTGTGTGTCTGGGGGGGGCGCGCTGGGGGCTCTGGAGGCGGCGGCGGGCGGAGCGGAGCTGGGCGGCTGGGCGGGAGTTGGTCTCCGCACCGGCGCTCCTTCGCTCCAGGAAGACTTTGCAAAACGCCCGAAGAGCCCTGAGCTGCTGAAATATCCCGCTTGAGGTCGGGTCGCTGCCGTTTTAGGCCCCCGCAGTCTGGGCGCGGGACCCCGAGACGTTTTGTGTCTGGGTCTGCACGTGCCGAGCGCTGCGGCCACCCGGAGCCCAGAGGTGTGGCTGGGAACCCCGGCCCCGGCACCTTCCACCCCGGCTGAGCCGGGCCGAAACGCGGCCCTGGGTCTCGACGAGTCAGAAGCGAACAAAAATGTTGAACACCTCAGCCCCGGCCTCTTCCCCCCCACGTCACAGTCTCGACCCTCTCCTTTTCTTTTCTCCCCTTTCACTTCGCCGCTTCTGGAGTCGGAACCCGGAGCGGGGGCGCCGACGCAGGCGGTCTACCCCCCTTCCCCGGCTCGGAGGCTCCCCAGTTTCCGTCCTGTGTGTCTCCGTCTCTCCCAGTCTCCTTCTCAGCATCCCCCCCCCTTCCCTCTTTCCCTCTTTCTCTCTCCGTTCGCGGAATAAAAAAGATTGCAACATCGATAATGAACTTCTGTAGCCTCAGTTTATTAAGCACAGTGCCTGGCATTCTTCGCTGAAAGTTGGCGGGTCTCTCATTTATAACATTTTTGGCACCGCTGAATGAAACTGAGGAGGCGATATTTCCTTTTATATAAAACGATTACTTCACGGAAAATGCTATATTGTTTATTCCAAAGCTGCCTTTTAAATTTCTATTCTTTTCGCTTCTGGAGCCCGAAGGACAACAGACAGCGAAGTATGCAGACAAAATTCTTGGACATTCGCAGGTCACTGGGATTTGTTCTCCTACGGATTTCAAATCCGCCCCTCTTCACGCCCCCAACCTCCCCCCGCCAGATCGCCGCCCCCCACGCCTTCTCTCGTCCTCCCACCCCCCATCTTCCACCACCCCCTCCCACCCCCTCCACAACTGCAAATAACTCAGTGATAACAGATTTTTTTCCACCAACTGCAGGAGATAGTGCTAATCTTTTAATAAAAGATCCCATTACAATGGGATCTGTCTGGACAGACTATAATAGATCCCGAAATACAGCCGTGCTAATATTAGAAGACAGTTGTTTGGGTGCCTCTCAGACGGGCCCAAGCCCCCCTTTGAAAGTGGGCATGAATCACAAAGCCCCGCGGCCGCCGCACCTGCACCGCGCGCATTCGGTGCAGCAGGCTGGTAAAAACGGGTGACCTCGCCGCTGCTTTTCGCTTTATAATTACCGTCCTGAGGACGGGAGGGGAGGGGCGCGGGCGGTCGGGGCGGGGTGGCGCTGGCTTTTTGCTCACTTCAGACGGCTCTGGGGACTCCACATCCTTCTTAATCTTTCGGATTTATTCTTCCTCTCTCTCTCTGTGTCTTCCCTCTTCTCTCTTTCCCTCCCGTCCGCCCAACCCTTCTCCTCTTTGCCTCCCTCTTCCCCGACTCTGCTCGTACTCTCCCCCCTTCTCCCTCCCCTCTTGCTTTTCCACTCTTCCCTCCAATGCAGCATTAATGTAGAGTTGTTTAGTGCCCTCTAATGGCCGACGACATTAACAATTAATAGCAAACTGTCCCCTTTGCAGGAGCCGACACTCCATGGCAGAGTTCCAAAGTTGAATTTATTTCTTCTTTATTCAGGCAGATGGATATAGTGCTTATATAGTAATGTGCTGAGGGAAAGTTTGTTTTCTCCCTTTCAAATCCTCTTTCCCAGTGAAAACTTAGTTGAAGGAAAGGGGAAAGCTAACAATTATTGTTACTCGACCATTTTGTGGGGGGGGCGGTATAGATTTGTCTTTTAATAGCAGCAAGAGACACAGCTTCTGTTTTATCAAAGTTTATCAAACGTGTATCTAGGGTTGGAAAATAAATTCAATATTCTAAATACACAAATTATCTTAGATGGTAGGTGGTTGGATTTCGTGGCAGTGTTACCAATAGCCATTAAACATTTTAAGACCCAAATGTGATTATATGATTTTATATTGTCCCCAGTTTAAATACATTTATTGGTCCTGAGTCTTCTGTAGCCTCTGGAAGCTGAAATTTATCACTTTAGGACCATACAAAACATTTAAATTTTGCTCATGCCTGGTTGTATATGAAGTCATCTTGCCTAGAGGAACGTGGGGTCATATATTAATGCATAGTTTATTTTCTCAATACTTTTGGGAAGATTGTTTTAAAGACCATAAAATCCTCATATTTTATAACCATATAGCAATGAAAATAGTGATGTAACCTGCATGTTCTCATTATGATTTAACGTATTCATTTGCATGTGCACTTAGAATATATTGATATAAGAAAAGCATACCCGATATGACTTTGAGGGGGGTGGGGGGAGAGCGGTCCATGTGGCTAAATGAAAATTAGAATAAAAGCAATTTTGAGGGTTTAATCAAAAGAATATTTTATCTGGACTTTTGAGTTTTTGGTTTATTCAGATAGTTATTTTAGTTTGTGTATATAGAAACAACTCATGTCACAGAACTTTCTGAATTAACTTAATCCAAGGTATGACCACACAATTCCAGGATGATGGGTAAAAAGTAAAAATTCTGTTGCTATTTTATTATCTGTCTACATAATGCCAAGTGCTCAGACCAGTCATTTGACTAAATTGACTGCATTGACTAGTTGCTTTGGCATCACGTGATTGTCTAGGCTAGGCCAAAGCAGACACAGTAGCTCTCATTGTAAAAATGCCACCACTCACAGGAGTGACCCAGAGTACCAGAGGAGTACCAGAGGCAGACCCAATACAGGATTACTTTTCTCTGCAGAGAGGGTGGCTCTGAGGGGTCAGGGTTGAGGTCACAGGCAAACACAATGTGGAAAACATAAGTGCTGTGTTGCTTTTGCCTTTGTGAATAAGCAGTTTGGTGTTTGTTTAGTGATACAAGCTCATCCTGTTTTTCAGCTGCACCTTGGATAGTATCGATCTGTTTGGGAAAATGTCTGCCCTGAATCGACACAGATCAGTCATCAGGATTCTTGTTGGCCTGGGTTGTTTTCTGACCAATTGGAGGAAATGAGACACAGGTCAATATTGGTCTCATATGGGCCTCCTGTGAGCATCAGCAAGAGATCCATCCCATTTCTGGGGTATGAAATGGTATCACACCTGTTCAGTGACATCACAGAAAAACAGCTGCTATTTCTTTTACTGTTTTATCTCCTGTAAATGTTAAATATTGGGTTTGTAGATGTATAAATGTCAAGGGGACATTTTAAAATAAAAATGCCTTCTTTCATTTTTGTTGTATGCTTCCAAGTTGGACTTCTTATTTTTTTCCTTTCTGCTCTGCCAAAAAAGTAAATGTAAATTATGGGAAACACAATAGGACCACTTTGTAACTGACTTTCTGGGCAGCACACAAAAAGACTGCTGTTCTCTGATGGTTTTTTTGTCAGCTTCAAAAGCTATCTTCCTTCTAAAGTTTATAAATTTAAAATATTAGAGTTTAGCAAATGATTCAATCTAGCTCCCAAGATACCTATTTGAAATCATATGAAATTGTTGTTTGAACCAGAACTGACCTGGTTAAATTTTAGTCCCTAAAAAACGAATATGGAAAGGGTGGGTGAGGTTACATATGGACAATTTGGAAGTCAGGAAGTGAGTAGCTTTTACTTTTTTGCCTTAAAATTAAATGTCAAACTTTTTTGAAGTTAGGTATTTTCCAAAATGATACTAAGATTTCAAATGCAAACAATCAATCTTGATTAAGCGACAGAATTTAAGCACTGGAGAAATACGCTGAAGTGTTTTTAAAATCAGATTTTGTTCTTCTAGGTACAAAACCGGTTACTTAATGCGTCATAGTCTTTGGTGTTGTGTAACTTCATGGGCTAGATGAGGATTGGGTGGGGGGTAATAGTTCTGTATTGGCTGAATTGTTGCAGAACTAAAAAGTTAAGAAATGTGAGTACATAAAAGCAATGTTTATCCAAGAGGTCCAAACCATCAGGTAATTACGTTTTTAAAAATGTCATTGGAATATATGTCTTTTTTAAATATAGTACTAAGAAAACAATCAATTGATTACCTGAACTTTTCTCATTTCAATGGTGCTTTTATGTTATACAGAGTCAGTCAATCATGGACAGCCCTTTTCTTTTTCTTTTTTAAAAATTTATTTATTTGTTTTTGGCTGCATTGGGTCTTTGTTGCTGCGCGTGGGCTTTCTCTAGTTGCAGTGAGCGGGGGCTACTCTTAGTTGAGGTGCACAGGCTTCTCGTTGTGGTGTCTTCTCTTGTTGCGGAGCACGGGCTCTAGGCACATGGGCTTCAGTAGTTGTGGCACATGGGCTTAGTTGCTCCACGGTATGTGGGATCCTCCTGGACCAGGGATCGAACCCATGTCCCCTGCATTGGCAGGTGATTCTTAACTACTGTGCCACCAGGGAAGTCCCTATAGATTTTTAATTAATCATCTTTCCTGAAAGGGGAATTCATTCCAAATCTAATTTGTACTTTGCCTTTATAAGTGTGGATCTATTTCTGGGTTCTCTGCTTTGTTCCACTGATCTATTTGTTGATCCTATGTCAGTCTCACATTATCTTGACTACTGGGACTTTATAGTAAGTAAGGAAGTCAGGTAGTGTAATTCCTCCAACTTTATTCTTTTTCAAGATTGCTTTGGATATTCTAGTTGCATTTCCATGTAAATAT